TATTTTCACTTGCTTTTCCATCACCGTCCCATTCTCTTAACTCTTTTGTACATTTAATTCTATAATGCACTGAGATTCCCTGGTTGTAGTTGTATCCTTGTGACCACTTCTGATCCATCGTATTCATTGGTCTCTCTCCGGTGAGTCAGTGAGTACTGTTGTTTCCTAGGGAGAGCTCCTTTTGGTCCTTCCCACCATCGTTAGAAGAGAAGACTTCATTTCTGACAAACTCCATTGCAACTGGCACGTCCCAGGTTATTTAGTTTTTATGACTTAGAAAGCAACATAAAGTGTGCAGTATTTCAGTGTTGAAACTATATGAAAGGCTGAGCTTTCCCTGCCGTCTCTTCCTTGGGGAGAGGCCACTCCCACTCGTTAGCAGACCTCTATTGCTGAGACAGCAGCTTGAGATGGGCGCTTGTGGCTCCATAAAGTCGACATCTTAAGAAAAATATTTTTATTCGGAGAATGGCTAAATTAGCCAGGTATTACTGGTATTACTATAATAATACCACTTATTTTTTTTAATGGACATAAACCTCTTATGTTTTAGTGTATTTTATCCAGCTTTCTACTCACAGGGCTGTAATCTGCTTATTTGAGGCTAGGCTTTTCCAGAGTCAAATTAAAGCACAGAATTCTGACTGGGTTTCAGATTTCAGTGATGGCTGAAGGAGCAGGAAAAACTCTGGTAAACTCTCAGGTATATTCTCTGCTACATGCCCAGTGACTCATTCCATCGAGCTGACTCTACTACTCAGTGCAGTTGCCTGGTCTGGAGAAACAGACTCCACCCAGCGCGAGGCACTGTAAACTACAGCACAGGGTGTGGGTGCGGATTCCACCCACAAGGAACTGCAGAGGTGGACGATAGTGTAATCGCTATGGGAAGGAAAGCCTAAGAATGGTTTGTAGTGTTGTTGCAGTACCTCATGTTTTGTTTGCTTCTTTGGTCATTAGCAGAAACTGCCTTAAACCTTGTAAGGAGTTCTGCTTACTAAATGACAAGGTTACTCACTCACCGGCTTGCACTTCCTCTTGAATAGCTTACATGAGCAGCGATAGAGAAAGAGGAGAAATATCAGACCTGTGGTTCATTTTTGTCATTGAATATCCTGGAGGTTCCAGATTTTCAACAAACACCCTTCATCCCACAGATTCTTCGTTTGGTAAAACCTACATTTCCTTAATGTCTCCTTATCAATTTCTTCTTGAATTGCCCTGGGTGTTCCCTTTTCTAATCCTTAAATCAATATATATTAATATTGAGGGATAGAGCCTAGGCCCCCGGCTGGGTAAGTGTTCTACCATTTAGCTCTAGGCTCGGTCTTCCTTTCACTTGGATTTTGAAGTAGGATCTCAGTGTGATTCTCAAACTAATCTCAAACTATTTTTGTAGCCCACGCAGACCTTAAGTATATGATCCCCCTGCCCCATCCTTCCAGCAAGCAGGAATTACAGGCTTGCACCACTAAATTATGAAGATTCTGCCAGATCCAATTTATTTGCCTTTCAAATTTCCTCATTTGAGTTTTTTTCTTTACAAAATATTTCACTTTTAGCTAAAACTTCTTACAAAGCCCTGGAGGCAGAAGCATCAAATTTTAAGAGGGAAATCTGAGTGTGTTTGTGCTTTTAGGCCCCAGATACTGAGTTTCTGGGTTTCGTTGACTAGAGGATAAAATTCACCTATCTTTAGTTAACATCTAAGCACTTTGACTCGACTACATTTCTTTCTTACTTTAGGAAACTCCAATTTCCAGCATCTTTTCCCCATGAACATTCACTATTGATAGAATATACACACAAAGCTTACTCTTGACTAAGTTTGTGGCATATAAGTATAACCCTAATATTCAAAGACTAAGGTGAGTTGATTGTGAATTTGGCACCAGCTTGTGCTACCTAACAAGACACTGATTAAAAAAAAAAATATCAAAACAAGCATATCCCCTCTTCCTCTTTTTTAAATAACTTATTTATTTTCATTTTATGTCCCTTGGTGTTTTGCCTGCATGTATGTTTGTGTGAGGATGTTAGGTGTTGGAGTCATAGACAGTTGTTAGCTGCCATGGAGATGCTGGGAACTGAACCTAGTTCCGGGGGGGGGGGGGGCTGAGCAGCCAGTGATCTTAACCACTGAGCCACCGCTTCACTCACAGCCTTTAGAGAGTTATAAACTCTCTTTTATATTCAGCAAACTGGATCAAGGGTTAGCTTTGTTCACAGCTGCCCTTACCTGTCTCGCATATGGAGTCAGTGACCTTGCACTGGGATTCTTCAAAATGTGCTGGCCAACTGTGTCTAAAGGTTTTATTTCATTGGGAAAGTGATGTTGCTCTGGATAAGGTCCTTTAACACAAATAAGACAAGAGCAACATCCTTGGTAAATACCCAGGATGTGCATAGGTATATGTGGGTGTGTGTTATAAATATACAACGTGTGTAAACATGTATTTCATGAATATTTTTATTGTGAATACATCATCAAAAGACTTTGAAATTTAGATGTATTAAGAACTGCTAAAAATATATATCTATGGTAATTACTGTTTTCCCTTGCTTAAAAGAATATTGTTAGTATTTTGTGGTTATGCCTTAAAATAATCATTCTCTCCTTTAACCATATGGCTAGGGTAGTTTTTCAAATATACTTCACTGCAGAAATTCATTTTATTGCTTCTCTCTCACTCTAGAGCTTGCATTCCTTTAAGGGACATTTTTTTCTCACCTTATACCTTGCCCAACATATATAAATTATTTAATTAAATTTTGTGCAGCTTTATTATACTAGAAATGCCACTTTTCAGTAGAATTTACTCAGTGAGCCAGGAAAGTGTAACTACTGTCAATAAACAACCACAAACAAGGGTAGCTTTGCTAATATCAGTACCTAATGTTGGTGGTAAGGATATTAAATGGCATCGTCTTAATTGGCCCAAAGTCAATACAGCAGTTACACGGTTGTTCCATATAGAAATCCTGTTGTCTTCTTCCTGCCCTTTGTAAGCTATTTGCTATAGGGAATCCAATCCCAACGAAGCATACACATGAATCAAATAATGCTGCAGCGTTTGCACTGCAAAGGTATGCTAGGGGTTAAATCACTCTGGTATTTTTTTTCTTCCTTCTTTTTCTTTTAAAGGAGGGTAGCTTCTTGTCTGATCTCCTTATGGTCCTTGTCACAAGTCCACAGCTTTTAATCACTCATCCGTCCTGTGACTTACAACACTGCGGGCACCATAATAATGCTCTAGCTTGCGTGGGTGATCTTCTTGATAAAATCCAGACAATCTCTCAATATAATGGGAAGACAATCAAAATAAAAAATGCTTGAAGAGTTCAGGTAGTAAGGCATACTATTTATTTTTCACTACGTGCAAGGATATTAAAATACTGACTTTCATACTTTTGATTGAGTTCATGATGAAATCCAAGAAAAATTGAAAATTTGAATTATTCCACTGCCAGTACGGACTGTATATCATGAAGAGAAAGCCAGCCTGTATCGCCAACTCTGTACTGTGATGTGCATAGTCTCACGCTGCCTGTCCTCCTTTTGTTTCAGTTTCTGTAGGATTTCTAAGCAATTAATTCGCTGTATGGTTCTTTTGTATTCTAATCACCCTGTGAAACTTTGTAGAGATATCTGATATTAATAATGGTGCCTGATGTTGGATGGCTACTAATGGTGCATGGTGTTGGGGTGGTTCAGATCTTTCAAGGTACTTTCCGTGAAATTATCTCACTGGACCCTAGTGGCTCTAGGGAGTAAACAGTGGGCTTCTCAGAATTCCCCCACCTGCCCCACACCGTCTGCCAGCCCTGTGTCTGTCCTCTCACTCCTCCTTGTTCCTTTCTTGAGAGGAGTCAGTTTGGTGCAGAGGGAGGCAAGAGCACAGAGTGTGGATCCAGGTATCGAACTCCATCCTTGTCTTGTTGAATAATTTTCCTTTCTCTATACATTGATTTTTCTAATTGGCAAAGTAAGAATAATGATTTACTGCATTCCCCGAGTTTTTAGGCTTTTCCATTTGTCAGGCACAGATGGAAACCGTGAACAGGATAAGACAGGCCTGTTTGCCTCTTTCAAGAGAAGCTAGGTTAGAATGAAAGCAGACTTCGATATCTCTGCTTTTTAGTCATAGATTTGATGAAGACAGCCAAAGTATTCTCAGCTTTGAGTTCTTAAATGGAAAATGGGTACAAAGCTATGTATCTTTTGTAGTTGTTGAGAATATTACAAATACATTGTTATCACAGCTCCATATACAAAAAGAAGCGTTAACCTTATTCTGTCTTCATTATTTGCTCCCCTCCTACCCCACCTCAATTCTTATTTACATTTGGAAATTGTGTGGCATAGAAAGTGGGAAAAACAAAACTGAGATGTAAGACTACTGAGATTTTACGATATAAAAATGAGTGAGGAGTTTCGAGAGAAGAAATGGTTTAGTGGATAAGAGGACCTGAGTTTAAATCCCCAGTATTCCCACAAAAAGACGGGTATGGCTTCGTGTTTCTCTAACCCCAGCACTGGTTTGGTGGACAAAAACAGGTTGGTCCTAGACACTGATGACCAGTCAGTCAGGTTAGGTGAAATGGTACGATTCATATTTAATAAGAGCATTTAATCACAGCATATAAGTTAAAGAGCAATAGAGAACCCCTGACATCCTTTTCTGGGTTCCACATGCATGAGCATGACTATTCACACCTACACACACATACACACACTTACATTCACACACACAAGCACACACACAGGGATGCACACACATTCAGCATTGGTTTTTTTCTTTTCTAAAACCATATATAGGCTTTAATTGTGTCAGCATGAGGGGATGTAAGGAACTGCATGGTTGAGAGAGGAGCCTGTCATGTTAGGGTTCACTGGGTTTGTCCTCTAGACCCTGACTGTTAGGACTTGAAGTCACCTCCAGACTCTGTCTGGTAGGATTTGAATGTCACTGACATAGCTCAATCCTTTCTTTTCACAGACAAGGAAACTGAGCTTCAGAGAAGAGAAGAGACTTGGGAGCCTGACCCACAAAGCTGGTGAGTACAACACAGCTGGGTTTCTCTTTTTGGTTCCTCTAGGAACTGGGGGTACACAGTGTCAATGAGAACAGTTAGGATTCCACACCTGCAAGTCTGCACAGTGCTCTTTAGAGTATGATGGGGCATATAAAAGAGGAGGGAAGGATAGAGGCCAGAAGCAGCTCTGAAATGAGTGGAAATGATTGACACTTTGAGGAGAGCAAGATGACTTTTTGTGACTTTCCCAGGGGAATATGTGAGAAATAGTCTGGCCACTCCAGGAAAGACATTGACCACAGCCACCTAGAAAAAAAGGGAATATAAAAGTATGAGACATATATATAATCTGAAAAAAAAAGCAAAATAAAATCATGACCAGTTTTCCATTACTATAGCTTTGTGAACCAGTGGATGTATTGAGGTTAGTAGCAGGTGTTTGGGTGAGAGGTTATAGGAGTATAGATTCATCAAAAAAAAAGCTATAAGGCTGGGCGGTGGTGGCGCACGCCTTTAATCCCAGCACTTGGGAGGCAGAGGCAGGCGGATCTTTGTGAGTTCGAGACCAGCCTGGTCTACAAGAGCTAGTTCCAGGACAGGCTCCAAAACCACAGAGAAACACTGTCTCGGGGGAAAAAAAAAAGCTATAAGAATGAAAAGCCCAATTTGCCATCATGGGCAAAGACTCACAAAACTTGCTTCCTTGGAATTCTCTTCATATCTTGCAAGCAACTTGATGTAATTATATAATTTGCATAACTTTGGGTAAGGTCCTTGGGACTTCTGTACCTTTCAGGAGTTTGCTGAGTCTTGTGAGTTTTGTGAACTTCCTGAGTACTGTAAATTTCACTAATTTCCTCAACCTTTCTCACAGAGGACATTTTGCACTGAGAGTAACCAGTTGTACCACAGAGTCCACACTGGAAACCCCAAGAGGACAGCAACTTGTTTCCTCTGCTTCTGGTCCATTTAGGGAAAGAATAGTGCCTGACTTTCAATATGGACTTTACATTTTTTGTTTGATAGTTTATTTTTGATAGATTGAGTAAACCAATAGTTGAATGAGACATGACATTAGAATAGTCCAAGAAAAAGAACAAGGCCATAGAAAATTGCAACACGAACAGGCAAGGCCTGCTTGTTGTTTGTGTTTTTGTCCTGCCCAGTTCCCCAGCTGTTTAGTCCCAGAGAAAAACCACACATAGGTCTCCATAAATTATAAAGCTGATTGCCCATTAGCTCTAGTCTCTCACTGGCTAACTCTCACATCTTGATTAACCCATTTTTCTGATCTATGTTAGCCATGTGGCTTAGTACCTTTTTCAGTGAGGCAGATCACATCCTGCTGCTTCTGTGGTCTGGGCAGGAGTGGGAGAAATCAACTTCCTCCTCCCAAGAATTCTCCTGTTCTCATTACATCATTTCTACTTCCTGTCTGGTTTTTTCACCTATATTTCCTGCCTGGCCAATCAGCGTTTATTTATAACATGATTGACAGAATACAGACAATTCTCCCGCACCAGAAAATGTGTATGAGAACATCTAAATTGTGGATGCTTATCCTGTTAGAGGTGACCAGATTCAGTAGATCATTGTTTTAAGACAGAGGGTCAATGTCATTATTGTATCATGAAAATTATTTAGATTTATGTTATAATGGCAGAAAACCCACAAATAAATAGGCTTATATATTAACTTGGTCAAAGTTAAAGTTATTTGTCTCACTACAGACATTTAACATTTTTGGATATATTGTTTTACAGAAACACAAAAACTAAATTTTGGGGAAAATGTATAAATACTTTTCAAGAAAAAATACTAAGTTTATCAATTTTATCTAAACTGGAATTTAAGGAAACAGTGTCTACTGAGAAGTTCTGTTCTTTATCATACAGGAATTGAGAACGCTGCTAGTCTTCCTGCAATTACTATTTGCACATTAAGGAGACTTAATGACTATGTTAGGCAACTTTTTAAAGGATTAACCCATCAGGTACTGATAGATTGGATTGGAATCGAAAAGACTAGAAAGAAGTGTAAAGATGTCTTAGCTTTGATTTTTTTTTTATTTTTCCATTCAAAAATTTACACTTCCTCCCCACCTCCCATTCCCCTCCCGCTCCCCCACTCATTCTCCTCCCTCCCCCCCCACCCTCCTTAAGAGAGGGCGGGGAACCCTGTCCTGTGTGAAGTCCAAGGCCCTCCCCACTACATCCAGGCCTAGGAAGCCTTGCATCCAAATAGACTAGGGTCCCAAAAAGCCAGTACATGTAGTAGAAACAAGTCCTAGTGCCTTTATTAATGGCTTCTCAGTCAGCCCCCATTGTCAGCCATATTCAGAGAGTCAGGTTTGATCACATACTCGTTCAATACTGGTCCAGATGGATTTGGTGAGCTCACATTAGAACAGGCACACTGTCTCAGTGGGTGGAGCAACCCCTCTCTGTCCTGACTTCCTTGCTCATCTTCTCCCTCCTTCTGCTCTTCAACTGGACCTTGGGAGTTCAGTCTTTTCAGTCTGTTCCTCTGATGACGGTCTCTGTCTCTATCTCCATCCTTAGCCGGACGAAGATTCCATGGTGATATTCGAGAAAATCATCAGTGTGATAGTGGGGCAAGGACAGTTCAGGCACCTTCTCCTATGCTGCCCAAGGACCTAGCTGGGGACATCCCCATGGACACCTTGGATCCCCTCTAGAGCCAAGTTTCTTGCCAACCCTAAAATTGCTCCCTTAATGTAGATATCTCCTTCTCTGCTCCTATATCCACCCTTCCTCCACCTCCACCCTCACTCCCCCAAGCTCTCCCCAGTCTTTCCCTTCTCCCTTCTGTCTCCCCCTCTCCCCTTCTCCCAACTCCACCCCCACCCCTACCTCCACCCCCATGCTCCCAAATTTTGCCTGGCTTGCTTCCAATTTCCAGGAGGATCTATATATGTTTTTCTTTGGCTTCACCTTGTTATTTGGCTTCTCTAGGCTTGTGAACTATAGGCTTAATGTCCTTTGTTTATGGCTAGAGTCCACTAATGAGTAAGTACATACCATATTCATCTTTTTGGGTCTGGGTTATCTCACTCAGGATAGTGTTTTCTATTTTGATTCATTTGCATGCAAAATTCAAGATGTCACTGTTTTTTACCGCTAAGTAGTACTCTAATGCATATATATTTCACACTTTATCCATTCTTCCATTGAGGGGCATCTAGGTTGTTTCCAGGTTCTGGCCATTAAAAATAATGTTGCTATGAGCATAGTTGAACAAATGCTTTTGTAGTATGATTGGGCATCTCTTGGGTATATTCCCAAGAGTGGTATTGCTGGATCCTGAGGTGGGTTGATTCCCAATTTCCTGAGAAACTGCCACACTGATTTCCAAAGTGGTTGCACAAGTTTGCATTTCCACCAACAATGGATGAGTGTTCCCGTTACTCCACAACCTCTCCAGCATAGGCTATCATTGGTGTTTTTGATTTTAGCCAATCTGACAAGAGTAAGATGGTATCTCAAAGTTGTTTTGATTTGCATTCCCCTGATTGCTAAGGAGGTTGAACATGACCTTAAGTGTCTTTTCACCATTTGAACTTCTTCTGTTGATAATTCTCTGTTCAGTTCAGTACCCTATTTTTTAATTGGGTTAATTAGAATTTTAATGTCGAGTTTCTTGAGTTCTTTATATGTTTTGGAGATCAGTCCTTTGTCTGATTCGGGGTTGGTGAAGATCTTCTACCATTCAATAGGATGCCTTTTTGTCTTAATGACAGTGTCCTTTGCTTTACAGAAGCTTCTCAGTTTCAGGAGGTTCTATTTATTCATTGTTGCTTTTATTGTCTGTGCTGCTGGGATTATACGTAGGAAGTGGTTAAATTAATTACTTTTAAAAAGGGATTAAAATAATACAAATTTTCTGCTTATTAAAGAAAATCTGTCACATTAAGAAATGTCACAAGAGCATTTATATGTAAGTCTGGAGAACTAAGAGAAAAATATGAGATTGTGCATGTGTGTATATTGTGTGTCTGTGCATGTTCACTCACACGTGCAAAAAAGTCTGTTCCTAGGCATCATTTGGTACAAAGGTCTCCATTTCAGTCTTAGGACAAAATAAACATATGAGCTTATAATTATTTTATTGAACTTTCTTATTTTATGGCCCACTAATGGTTCATGGATCAGTTATACTGATGAGTGCTAAAAACTTACAGCTTCAATGAGGTTGGTTTTTAAAACATATTCATTTATTTTCTATTTTATTCATTTATTTTATTTTTCTTAGCATTTATTTTCAAATGCTAAGAAACTTCTCAATTCTAAGTCTTATTTTGCAGTTATAGAAAACCATAGAAGTATAATTTTTTATTATGGAGAAGGAACTAAAATATATTGTATGTATCTAACTAGCAATGTGTATATACTTTTCTAAATTACTTTTAATTTCTAGTGTAAATTTTTCTTCTAAGATTGAGTGTATGCCTTACTACCAGATACTCAGTATGACATTTATTTTACCTTCTTCACTCTTTAGGCTGAAATTGGTAGAAAATTTACCTTTTGAGGTCAGTTATCATTTGTAGTGAAGGTTTTCTTTAAAAAGTTGACACTCCATGTATTTTTATAGTGGGCTATTTGCACTATATTTTATTTTGTGGACAGTTCTATTGTAAGAATTCCTTTGCTTTTCACTGTTTTTGCAAGTATGCATGCAGCTTCATTCCCAAATAAACAGGGTTGGGATAGAAGTATATATCTCAGTTTACTCTTCCCAAATTCACCTAGTAAGTTAAGTTTCTTCATGTTCCTTGGGTCTAAGCAATAAATGAGTGGACACAAGTCAGAAGGCCCCTCCAGTTTCATGAGCAAAACTTAAGTGCCCCAACACCAAGTATTAGTATTTTTTCTACTGTTTAGAAGTAGATTCGATTTAAAAAGCAAGTGTAAAGGATTGCTTTGTTTTATTTCATTAGATTTAACAAAGTACCTTAGATCTTCTCTTGTTGACTCAGTAACTCAAGAGGCTGAAATTGA